GAAACAGGACAGGAACAGAACGGAAAGAGAACGGAACAGAACAGAAACGGAACAGAACAGAGACGGAACAGAACAGAAACGGAACGGAACAGAACAGAAATAGCAGGAATTTATCGTGCAAAAGCTGTTCGACCTCGGCAGGAGTCGAACCTGCAATCTTCGGTTCCGTAGACCGACGCGTTATCCATTGCGCCACGAGGCCCGACATACGCGAAACTCCATAATTCCTCTAATAAGCATTCGATCAATCAATCCATCTGATCAATATATGTATCATTTATTGTTTTGAATGAGTAATCGATTATTGTGACAATTATTTCTGTGAAAGACGTTGCTATTGCATAGTGCACCACGACATGACGTCAGAGCTGCATTATTTACGTGTTAGTGAGAATGTGGTGGACGAGTTGTAGGAGGTGTATGTGCACTCCGCTGCATTGGTTACTTTCTTTGTCGACCGATGGATGATGATGATGCGCTATGTACTTCATCCGTTCTAACATTGTGCAGCATTCTTTGTATTATGTTTATTCTGAAATTGTTGATGTTGATCAATTTATGTTCTCATATATAATCTCATACATTTTGTTCAATTTTTAATTTTAATTAAATTTGTAATAGGAAAATTAAATTTTAGATTGGTAGATCTTTTATGTAAAATTGAAACAATTATTAATAAAGAGTATAATAGAAGGAAGCAGTATAATTGTTAGAATATATCTGCGTTTCTTTTTTTTTTTTGTTTGTTTGTTCTAATTATGATCTATAAGTATGATTTTATTTGAAATTAATTTAAGGGGTTATATGTCCCGTTGCCGACGTACCCATCGCATGGTCATCAAAAAGTAAGTTTATTTAATTAGTAAAGGTAATATAATTTATTATGTTATATTTGATGTATTATTAATGGAATTGTTTTTATAATGGCGCATTTTTTTTTCTTCAAGAATTTTTTTTTTGGAAAAAGTTAATTGTAAAATAATGGATTGTTGGGATATGCTCATTATTTAAGAGTGTAATGAGTTTGATTTAAAATTTTGCAGATTTGGTTGTAGTTACATTCTTAGTTTTTCATTTTTAGTACTAGTTTATATGCGCTTACCGCGGCATCAAATATAAATTGATGAATGGAATTGCCGCTTGCATGCAGTTTGATGTAGAAAAAAGTGCTGCGGTTTGTAGAAAAGCAAGAAACGAGGTTCCATTCCTTATCGTATTGATTAATATATGCTCATATTTGTTGAAATTCTATGCTTCATACATTTTAGAGACGATTTCGATGTTGCGAATAGATCTGGATCAGTAATGAAAACAGATTCTGATGAAGTAACTTCCTTTATTGTTAATTAACTTATGAGCTTTGTTGGCTGTAAACGCTTTTCATTGATGCTAGTTGTCGATAACTTATTAAATATTTCATTTTTCACTTTGTAATATGAAAACCAATTACAACTATTCAGTTATCGAGGTGAAGAAACTTTACATTGATAATTTTAAAAAATGCGTAAAAGCTTTGGTTTTAGGGATGTTATTCTGGTGAAAGTGGTCTTACTAACGGCAATAATGATGCTGATGAGGAAGTATCGAGTTTTTTTGCAAATCAAATTCTAGGAAGTATTTCTAGATTGCTTAGTGCTAACAATCAAGCAGGTATATTACTTTCAGTTGTAATCTGTAGAATTGCAATGTTTTTTTTAATAGATTTGAAGACTAGTTCTGTTATTACCTTTTTTTTAAAAAAAATATATCATATATGTCAAACAAACCATCTGAGTTTTCATGTAGCCTGTCCTGTTTTATTATTGCTGGGCAATATCACTGTTTAGATGGGAAACTTACCGCCTCGACTGCAATAGATAACAATTCTGAAAGTGATGAAATGCCAAACGTTTTCGAGAATATATTCAGTGAGCATGTTGAGGTCCAGCGTTTCATTCTAATTTTCTTATTTAAAAGCTTATTAATTGATATGAATGGTTTATAGATGCTTATTGTTTTTACTCTTTAACTTTGGAAATAATTTAATGCTTTTTAAATCAAACTAGATTCACTCATATTTATTATTTTAGAGCCCATTTAACGAAACAGGAGCAAATGATTTGGATGGACCAAAAGCAAAGAAAGCACGCAATGATTTGGCTAATGCAAGAGGTACTCTTTAAAAATAATTTGTCTCATGTGCAGGTTATTTAATATATTGATCACTGATAACATTATTTCCTACTTATTTCCACTTCTGAAACATGGTGCACTTTAATTATCAAAAATAATTTAATTCTGGCTTGCAACGACATTTTGACACGCGTAATCTGCAGAAAGAGTTGCAGGTCTACTTAATAGAAACTAATGTAACAGTTTGAATATCAAGGGAGGATTGTATCTTAAATTTTTTTGCAGAATTATAATGTTAGTTTTATTACAATTTTTTGATGTATTCTTTAGAAGACTGGCCGACGAAAGAATCTGGGAGTAGTATGACAATCCCGATGCCAATGTGTATTCGTTTAGTGGAATTGTACAGAAGATGTCGAGGTTGCTTATTTTATTTTTTTATACAACGAACTATAAAACAGGACATTGTTTTGTTCGAAAATCTTAATAGTAATTCTATGCTGTCGTTTTTGCAAACGATAGGAAATAGGAAGTTTTCTCTTTTCTCCAGAATCTTTACGCTAATTGGTTGGAATTTTTCATGCTTAATTATAAGAAATCGAAAATTTTGGAACATTATATTCTATATAAGAAGCATTATATTCTATATATATAATTGGTAACAAAATATTCTAGCATTTCTACGAACATTCAGTCAGAAAAAAGAAGATCGTAAAGCACGTCATCAAATGTGGGATGCCATTGATGCCCGCCTTTTCGAAGAATTCGGAATTCATTCTGGCGTAAACAGATTAAAAAAAAAAATACAGAATATACAGGCTGGAGCGCGAGGGAAAATTGAAGCTCTGCGGTAATTATATTTCGTTAAATAAAAAAAAGAAAGTACTCCGTGCTGCTTTGTTTATAAAAATTGAATATTTAGATATGAAATCTTTAATTTGGCTTTTAGACGAGAAACAAGTAATGGTATAATACCACAAGATACGAATATTAGATTCACGCCAGCAGAAATGGAAATGGTTCGAATGCTCTATCAAAATGGCGACAAAGTCCTAAACACGGTGAATGAAAATAATGAGCCTTTTTATATACAATTGGAAGCGTTGATGCGACGTGAAAGTAATGAAAAGAAAATCCAGTTACACGAAAATGGACACATAGGTACCTTATTTCTTTTTTTTAAATGTATATTGGCATTCAGCACTTCATTCAGATATTATGAAAGTAATTAGTTTGACAGGAATATGCAAAGACATAATAGTTCTAGTTTTTTTTTTTTTTTTCAGTAGTGATGGTAATCTAACTTGAATCATTTGCCGTTTCATTATGCGGTATAACTTTGGGTCGCTTAAAAGTTTTGTTCAGTGATAAGAGAAGTGTGGAGAGTAACTTGCAGAAAAGTTGTATTGAAGAACTAATCAAATAGTTCCTTTTATCATAATTTACTTTCAGAAAGGTCACCGCCTTCATCAAATACAAAATCAATGATTTATCCACAAATATTAATCAACCAAGCTGCTCAGAATGGTATCTTTTTTGCAACATTCTATTCTAATTTTCCCCATTTTAACTTCGAGCATAACTTCATGTCTAATGTATTTTTAATTTGAAAAGAATTTTGTTTCGATTGCACTAAGTCTTCAACGAAATTGTTCGTGTTTCGTGCGATGCATGCACTTCTATAATGGACTTATTTAAAAGGGCAGCACACCTTCCCTATAATCCATCGATTAGTTGTTAGTGACTACAAAATGTAGGTCATTGTCTGGAGGGCTACGCATTCTTCTAAGTGCTCCTTTAACATTGTTAAATGGAGACAAGATAATATCAAAGTAAAATTTATTTTGAGGAAGATGTATTAAGAAATCCAAATATTCGGTATATTGTTATTTAATGGCGTTTAGGTAATAAGAAGGTGCCGCATGTTACCAAAGAAGCATCTGCATTGTTCAACAGTGTGAGTTGCATAGCAGAGCCAAAAAATTCTCCGGTAGGAACTTTTAAACTGCTGATTTTGACTTGTTTTTGTAATCATTTAGTCCGGTGGCATGTGTCGGATGCAGCTTTTTTTTGACATGTTTGAAGATATTTTTAAATAATTTGAAAATTCTGTGTTGAGCTGTTATTTTTGACATGAAAATTTTTATTAAGGCATATAATAAGCATGTATTTTAGATTGTAAGTTTGTTTTCCAAACCATTTGATGTTCTTTCTACGGCTGCACACTTCCCTAAAACAGATCCAGTTCCAAGCAGTGGAGGACACGAATTAGCGATTATGACTGAATTGATTGCCAGGCAAATGAATGTTTTAAAGGTTATCATATTTTCTGCTTATGGGAATGCCAGTATTGCTTTTAAAATCATTCGTATAGGCAATGTCAGATTTTATTTATTAACAGTTTCGGTTGCAATAGTGAGCTCTTATTTCACGTATCACTGCTTTATACCGTGTATCTTAAGACGTATTTCTTTATCTGCATTTGTAATGTTTTCGACTATTTGCCACTGAAAATGTGGGTCCGTCTACCTTGTTTTATCTCGTTCTTTGAAGATAAACATAGAAATTATGGCAGGATTTCATCTTTTTAAGGATTCATCTTTGTTGTTTGTTGTCTTTGCATACTAAATTTGTTATAAAATCAGGTAAGTTTTTGACAGCAGCCGTTTGAACACTTTGTTCATTATTTGGTCGTTGTTATTTTCGACATTATTTAAAATGCACTGCTTTCATATTTCAGCGACAGGAGGAGCTTCAGCGTCGTGCCGAACTTCTTTTCGAGCAACAGCTAGCACGTGAATCGAAAATCGTAGATAGTATTGCATCACTTACTAAAGCTGCGTCGCATCTTGAACAAATTGGAGAGTTTCTGCTTAATACTTGTCGTTATGGTAGTGTTAATGGTGGCACATTTAGCCCAAATAATTCATAAATTTTCCGTATATTGCTGCTTTTTTTAAAGGTGGCGAATTGTAAGAATTTGATGTGTTCAGAATTAGCAGACACGAGGTTTGTTTAATGTAAAACTTTTTAAATTTGAGAGTATTTTGTTATGTTCATTGCTGGCCAGCAGTTTGTCTTTTTTTGTAAATAAGCGTTTTTGTTTTGAATCTCGCGACTCTGATGTTGATTTTTAGTTTTATCTGTTAAAAAAAAGATAACCTGTAATTAAGTGAACTATGAAGGAAAAAATTACTAAAATTTTTTGAAATTTATACAGGATTAGAATTTTCTTGACTTCTCTTTTCATACAGCTTATCTAATTTGGTTAATTTTTCGATTCCTAACGTAGATTTTATGAAATTCTAGCAATTTCAGTGTTTTTTTTTGCAAATATGGACTCGAATATTTTATTCTTATTAAGGTACTTTTTCCATTATTGTTGAAATTTAGAAAGTTTTGTTTTTGATCAATTTTTGAATTTGTATCAGACTCTACTTTTTTATTTTTTTATTTTTTGAATTTGTGTGTTGTATTGTTATCATCACTTCAGAAAGCTGCTTTGGATGTCACTTATTCTTTTTGCAATTATGTTGCTCCATGATAACCCACTTAATTGGTTGTAATTATTTATATTTTATTCCCAACATTTTACTTATTTCTTTTCCTCTGAAAATCTGAAGTGCCTTTTGTTCACTTTTTTAATCCTTTCTCAGAAATAATTTTAGCGTCTTCCTTGCCTTGGTGGTAAATAAAATTCTTCATTTTTCTTACCTGACGCAGAGCCAACATTGCTATAATCTTAGATTGCGTAGATAGAACTATTAGATATTTGTCTGGTTTCTTGCATGTTTTTCTTTTCAGAAAGATATGAGGGAAAGGAGAAGTGCCTAAAATGAGATTGGTTTTTTTGTGATTTAAGATAAGATAAAATCTAGAGAAGAAGATAATCAGACTTGTATAAGTTATTCAGATTTATATGCTTAATATCAGTATGAATTCACGTTTGAGTAGTAATATTTTGGTCTTCTTCGTCAGGTAGATCAGTGTTATTTTGTTGCATTTGGAAGCAGTAATACAAATGTAACCTATCGATTTCTCGAAACGTCTTCACTCAATTCTATCACTTTGAAAATCTTGCACATTTCACCTTTTCTTTATTTCCTTTCATAATTTTAATGGTTGTGTTGCGAGAAGTATCATTCTAATAATTCTCATCGATCGATGTTTTATGCCCGTTTTATCATCTCCAAGCCTTTTTTGCGAAGTTTATTTGCCAATTTTCAGCTCAGTATTTTCTTTTACTCTTCACTTGCCTTTTTCTCCTTCTGTGTAATAGTTTTGTTTTTTGAATGACCAGTCCACACTGGTATTTTCATTTTCAGATTGTTCATTTCAGGGGTCTTTTCGGGATATGGTGTATTCACTCATTGTTCGTTTTGCAAAATATAGAAAAAATTTTGAGCGAATTTAGTTTTGTTGTAAGGAGCTACGAACCACTTCATATATGTCTGTAATCATTACCTTTTTTGTTCATCTCATGTTGTAATAACTTCTGTTCTTCTCCGGTTCTGCATGTGTTAAAGGTCACATAGTTTGAGACATGTTATTGCTTCTTCCTCAAAATGTTCGATTCACATTTTTATTATAAATGTAATGTGCAAATCAGCATAGCTGAACAGTCTTCTTTCGTATTTGTTGGATAATATTACTACTTCTCATATTTTATTTTATGTTGAACTTTTGAAGCTTTTCTCAAATTGGTCACACTCTTCTCTATTATAAAGACATTTTTTGGGAATAGTCGAACTCGTCCAGTGAATTGAGAAGGTGCTATTATATCTTCATCTTACATGATTTCAGAATTTTTAAAAAAATCCAAAAACTTCGAATTGTGAAATTTTTTGTCACATACATATAGGCAACACTTTTTCAATCTACTTGCAATATCAGTACCTTAATGACTTCTTTTACCGCAAATATATTTTTCAAATGCAGAATCGGTGATCAGTTTTTCATTTTGTCTAATTTTTCAAATTTCCAATCGGTGTATTCATTCATTTGACAAATCACCGTGTTCATTATCAGTATTTCAGTAATTGTTACCAATCTTGCCAGTGCATAAGGGTTTGTCTTTTTGGTGACGGTTAGTGTGCACTGTAATGTTTACAACCATTCACTCACATTTCCAGAAGAAATCTTCAATGTACGTTATTTGTATTCAATTCAAATTCTGATATAAAAACAATAAACAACTTTAAAAAATTCTTTCATTAAGCACATTTTGGAGCTTTTTTTTATCTTTTAACAATATGGTTTGATTAGTGAGATGATTTAAATTGAATAGTTAGTCGGCTAAGCTAGATAACATTATGTGTTGTTTCTTTCGTTATAAATTTAAC